TTCCTGATAATGTTCGGGGTTCAGACACACTCTCTCTGTTTAAATCTAGATTAAAGACGCATCTCTTTGGCCAAGCATTCAAATAATGCATCTCATAATCTTGTACTGCAGTTATATCTGATCAAATGCACATTATTATTCTTTAGTTTGGGTTAAACAAATCAATTTTGCTTGGTTGGAACAGCAGCTACGCTAATTATGTCTCTATGTGTTTCTCTGTTTCTGCTGGGATTAACATCCCGTGGTAACTAGGATTTACACAAGCTTCAGTCTGGATCCAGAACACCTGAGAAGAGATGATGCAACCCCTCAGATGATGCCAACCCTGAAACAACATACTGAACTACCACATTTTGCTATAAGTTTGATTGCATCATATAATAATTGCTGTTAATAGTGTTCATCGTCTGTTTGATTACATGACATTAACTAACTGCAGGATTTTACTGTACATTTCTGCCATATGGACATCAACTTGAGATGGTCACCACTGATAAGCTACTACTAAATATAATGTAGAAACTTTAATTTTCTGTAAAGGTGCTTTGCAATGATTTACATAGTGAAAAGCGCTATACAAATAAACTTGAATTTGAAATATACACCTGGTTCAGGGTTCTCTGTGGCTTACCAATGACCTTACTCGCTATATTAATGACCCTAGTTATTGTATTGATATTCTGATGAATGGCACATTTGCAGCTCAAATGAATATGGGATTTTAAAACTTTGTTGCATTACACACTAAACTACGCACACTAACGGTCACTTGTCCTGGGAATGAGGCGCGTTCACGTATCGCACAGATGCAGGCCGTTTCATGAATGGCTTCTTTATTTGTGCCGCACTGCTGTTCTTTCTGATCTTTTTCATATTTTTCATCTGTCCTCCCGCAGGTTAGAGCTTATCATCTTTGTTAGTGTGTAACCATGTGATAGTGTTTTTCTCAGTTCCACCTTTATTCTCCACCTCCTTCTCAACACCATCCGTTTGCTCGACATGAAAACAGTACAAAGTATTCCAAGGCCAAGCTCGGCCAGGGTAGATAAATCCCTGCTTTCCCAGGCCGCTTCAAACAACATCCATTCATTCCTCTCCAGAGTCCAGAGAGTTTGTCACGAGACGAGCGTTATCCTGCAGTTATGCGTCTGGTGCTGTGTGTCGTCGCCGTTCTGTTCGGGTGTCTTCTCGGAGAGATGTTTGTTCTGCATCCTTCACCTGAGGCATCTGCTGTCAAAGCCAACAGGTAAGCGCTGAGGATTTAAAGATGAACAATGTCATGATGAATGGATCATGGCATCCTGTTTTAATCACCTGCACTTTTGTACATTAGGATGTTTTGGGGAGATCTTTCCAGCTCGTTCACTGTGATCAGTCTATTCACTTGAAGTCTTAGATTTGGTAGAAGTTTAGGCTGATATTTTAGTGCTCGGGGCAAAAGTTGAATCAACCTCATTACAATAGCATGCTCTTCTTCCATTTGAGACTCAAATCCTCCTGGCTGGGCTGATCGTGCTTGACTGACCAAAAGAGAATTGCTGGATATCTTCAGAAAGCTTCTCTTGCTCTGGAGTTTATTTGTTTGCTGGTTTTTATTGTATTAGTTATACTATTTTTGAATTGCTTTTTCTCATGAAAATAGCCTAAGATGCCGACATGTCATTTAATAAAAAAAATACTACTACTACTCTCTTGCTCTGGATTTTACTTCAGTGTTTTGTTGTGTACAGGTTGACTGCAAAGACACATGTAAAGTTCTGGAGGTATAAATGAGGGCATCTCTCTTCTCCTCCGGTGTCCTGTTACAGGGTCAAACGCCGAGCCTTCACAAATACACCAGGCTCCGGTAGCACACGGCTGTGCTTTAAAAAATTTGGCTGCCGTTGGACAGACGCACACACACGAGGTCTGCAGAGGTGTGATGACACTGCGTTTTTTGTTGTTGTTTTTTTTGCAGATGCAAGGGAGAACTGGAAATCAGGAAAATCCTTCTGGAATCTCTAAACCTCCAGCAGGAGCCTCGTGTGTCCGTGTCGAAGATGCACCATTTACGTGAGCAGTGGAAAGCCAGTATGAGAAGCAGCCCCACATCAGCACCAGGTACCTAAACCCCAGAGATCAGGCTCAGGTGAAGACCAGATCAGCCCGGTTTCTGGTGAAGCTGATCTCTTGTCTATTTAGCAGGTAACTCAACGTTTCCCGAGGACTCCAGAAACTCCAGCTGCTGCAAACATTCCTGTCAGGTCTTCATTAAAGGTGAGCGATCAGATGCATCCCGCTACGTTCTCGTTGCTGCAACATTTTTGGTGTTAAAACCAGCTTAAATGAAAGGCCGTACGGCTACAGTGTATATGAGCGCAATGTATAAATACTAAACACTTCATTAATGAAAGCAAGGCTTCGTTTTCTTTAGACATGATACCATTTCTTTTCTTTTGTCTTGGTTTTGGGGTAAAATGTGACATTGGGCTCATCATGCGTGTCTTCTCTTGTGTAAATGGGTCAGATCTGGGCTGGGAGCGCTGGGTGGTTTATCCGGAGAGCATCACCTTCGTCCAGTGCCGATCCTGCGGTTCTGAGAGCGCAGACGCACCTGCGCAGGTGCATTACCTCGGCATCACGTTCAGTCGATCTGTTTTCTGTTCTACACAAACATTTTTCCTCTCATCTACGGGCCTCAGACTGATGAAATGCTGATCTTAATTGTCTTCCCACAGTGCTGCAAGCCGACCGCTCACAGCATCGTCCCGTTCCTCTACGTGGACGACTGGAGCGGTTGGGTTCTGTCCTCGGTGAGTCTGATTCGCCAGTGCGGCTGCGACCCTGGAGAGCAAACACAGGACCCCGAGGTCATGACCCCGTCCTAGAAAGCCTTCCTGACCCGCAGGTCACATGACACAGAGCCACAGAAATGCAGTAGAGAAGCACAGCTTTTTGGATTTGTAGGTTTATAGCTAAGCAGACTTATTTAGCGTCTTTTGCTGCTGTTGGGAGTCAGACTCTCTGACTCTTGTGGGCTGTAAGAGTGGACTCATATAAAGTTCTCAGAAGAGGCAAAAAAAGTTCTCAATCTAAGCATGTTATTTGACTTTCACAGAAATGCACAATGGACCTTCTGTTATAAATCAGTTCAAGGCCAAATCTGTTTTTAACTTCGGGCTTTTATGGGCCTGTGGCTGCAGCAGCCAGCCAATGTTCCCTGAGAAAATGCTGTCGAGCAGCTCTGCCAAAACTCTCCCCGTGCGAATCTGAGGACCAAACAAAGCGTTACATCCAAAATGGCCTTCCTTTAAATCAAATTCTAATGTCAATGATTCCTCTAATGTGGCGTCAGGCGTGATTGTTAGCATAACGTGAGCTGCGTGTTGAGAAATGCCCGGTCTTGTTGAAGAATCGAACGCACATTCCAGCAAGAACATTTCGACTGCGTGTTTGCAAAAACCATCTGGCCATAAATCAGCATCATTTCAAATTCAATGTATAAACAGTATTCAACCCAGGGTTATAAATGATTGAATGTTTCATAACTCGACTTCCATGTTGTAGGCTACACAGCATTGTATTAGAAAATATCAAAAGCATTTCATGTAATCCAGGAATGGCAAACTAACACTTTCACATGCATGTTTAGCTAGTATTTAACAAGATTTACACTTTATATCAAATGTATCAGCAGAATGTTTTATTAAAGAAAGCTTTCATGGCATAAAGATGTGATGTCCTTACTTCACTTCATAAAAGATCCGTTCAACATTTGTTTCTCGTGTGTGTGTGTGTGTGTGTGTTATTTCTGGCA